TTCATTGTTTCACAGTTTCTGAAAGTTTTATTTATTGGGGCCAGCAGGTGGAATGGTGGTTAAAGCACTGGATTCCCATAGAGCTGACCATGGTTCAAGTCCTGCACCCAGTGGCTTGAACATCACACCACCACATGCCCTAAATCCAAGAAGAGAGTGGAGAAGGGATTGCGACACGGCTATCCCCTCTGGGATAAGTGACTTCTCACTTTCCCTCTCTCTCTCCCCAGCGAGTACACACACCCTATGGCAAAAACCTAAAAATAAAAAACAAAGTTTATTTATTTCATCTATGAGAGAAGGAGGCATGAGATATATAGAGACACCCCCCCAGTAGGGTCATTCCAGTGCAACTCCACCCCCAGTGTCAGCCAGACAGGATTATGAGCACTTACACGTACCCCATGTACACAGGAAGACCGTGGGATATGAACCCTGGACCTTTGCATGTGACGTCAGCCTCCCAGAGCATTGCGTGACTACTGCATCACCACAGCTGGTCCTAAGGTCTATCTTTTTCTAGTTAAGTTAGTGATTTTTAGGGAACTGGAGAGTCTCATCCTAGGTATTAGAAACCAGCTTCTTATGAGGGGTCTTGGAAAAGTTGATTAAAAAAAAAAAATAGAATGAGTTTAATTTGGTGCAAAAAAAGAAGTTTTGAAAGCTGTCTATAGATTATTCATCATATGCATTTTCCATGAACTTTTTGACTATCTCCTTGTATATATCCTTCTGTGGGATGGTTGCTAGGCTGAGAATCTGGTTCCCTCCGGTTACACATGGAGAGCCAATGGAAAGGATTGCCTTTGTGATGTGAAGGTGAGTAACTCTTGCGCCAGGGCAGACTAAAACATCCTTGAGCATCTTACCATCTCGGCGAAAAAGAGCGTCTACTGGAATCAATAAAACACTATCAGATGTGCTGTTCTTAAAGTGTGCTTTGTAACTCTATTGCAGATTGTTAGTATTGACCCACGGACATTATATTCTTCTTGAAGAAACCTCTTCTGAAATCCGCAGTTTCCTGCTGCATGTCCACAGCACAATGTATATTTAAAAACCCTGTGAATGTGTGCATGGTATCAGCTCTGTGCCAGCCCGATTAGCTGGTTTTCAACTTGCTCGCCTTTTTTCTTCTTTTCTCTCTTTTCTTTTTCTTTTTTTCTTTTTTTTAAGCAATCCTTTCTAGTTATGGGGCCCATAATGGCATCAGAAACCTATTCACAGCATTTCATTTCTGATATCCCTCCACACAGAATAAACAATTAAACCGATTCAAGTTGGAATTGTCTCCGAAATATTTCCTTTCTGCTTGGCAGCCCTATACAAAAATTTTCGCCTGTTGCAAATTAAAAGTCTTCGAGTTGCAAACCCCTCGGAAGAAAGGTTTTGATAACGGGACGTTGTCAGACCCTTAACTGGGCGGCACACCGCCAGGAGCCTCCAGGAGACGTGTAATGTAGTCGCGGGGATTGGGAGTCGTCGGCAGCGGCTGGGTCCCCGCTTGACTGCTCTTTTTCCTGACGAGGAAGAAAGGGACCGTGATCAAGCAGAGGGTCTCAAAGGAGGTCTTAAATCACCAGGAACATGAAGGGTGGGTGTACACAGGCTGCCAGGCAAGCAGACACAAAGCTCCTGGCTTGGAAAGAGGCAGATCATTCTTGGACTGGATACCCCGGTGACTGGGAACCTTCTCCTTATGGATGAAATAGGCCCTGACTCTGCTCGGCTAATAGGAAATGCTGAAATGGAGATTTTTTTTGGGGGGGGGGGCGGGGGGGGGGGG